CCCCAAAACCCCAAAACCCCAAAACCCCAAAACCCCATTTACTGCTCAAAAATAAAGAATTAATTCTTTTTCTTCTTGCCTTTCTTTCCCTTCTTGCCTTTCTTAGATTTTTTCTTTTTCTTTCCGTCTGAAGCTGAGCCTTCAAGTTCTTCTTCCAGCTCCTTAGCCTTTCTTCTTTCTTCTTCTAGAATCTCTTTCATGATCTCATCTTCTAATTCTTTGTCAAGCATATCTTCTTCATCAAGATTTTGTGTCTCTGCTATGACTGATGGACAGTGGAGATCTTTGAGCTTCTCCCCAATGTTGCCAGGAGTATCATAGACAATGATTCTTCCTACTCCTGTTCCTTCAAAGCTCTTTTCGAACTCCCCAAGGTTAGGTTTTGTGAAGGTAGTCACCATTCTAGAATACTTTCCTTGGCTAGGGGAGTATATCACCACTGTTGGGAGGAACATGTCTGATAACTCAAACTCAGGGAGTAAATACTGATGGCAAGATGCATTAATCCACATGTATTTAAATTGAGAGCTACTTTCAAGGTTCCTATCTTCAAGAATTTTTAAGTAATCATGATGGATAGCCTTCTCTTCGAGAGTACCTACTTTCCCGTTGAGGAAGCCGATCACTCAAAGGCCTTTCATAGATTCACATATATCATCAAAATTATCATAAGTCACTTCTTGGAAGTTAGTGCTCGCCTCTGCAGTTCTTTCTGTAGTCTTTCTCTGACTTTTTGAATCAGGGAAGAAGGTCTTAAGAACTCCTAGATTGTACTCAAGGAGCTCAAAATAGTCATTGATATCTCCTTGATAGATCATTGTTCTCAGAGAACCTTGACCTTCTGCATCTGATCCTTCTTGTCCTTCTGGAGGAGGAAGTCCTCCAATAATGACTGGAAGTCTAGGCACCTGGAATTGTTGGAGAGTCATAGCTCCTGGATCTTTAAAAGCTATAAACTCGAAGTTCTCTGCAAAGATAGGATTTGTAGAGATAGATCTGAACGAAAGAGGTACTTCATCCTCTTCACCTTCATAGAGATAGACAAGAGTGATCTTGTTCAGTTGTAAAGCATTGTTAACAATCAGACTTGAGAGAACTGACTCACTGGCCTCGCGGAGGTTATCCTTGATCTCAGTTCCTTCTATAATATTGACAATCTCATCTTCCTCAGTGTTTACTGAGATATCAAGAGCTGTTTCTTTATTCTTCTCTGCTCCAGTTGAGAAGACAAGGAGCTTTGGAAATTTGGTTACTCCAAATTTCTCTTCAGCGATCTCCTGAGACTGGGGCGTTTCACAATTGAAAAAGACAACATTGGTTGGACCATGAAGAACACTAGCAATAGTTTCAAATTTCTGTTGGATATTTTTGAAATCTTTCTCAAAGAAGACAACTTGAGCCCTGTAATCTTCTATAAAACCTCTTGTATAGTTCTTATGATTAACAAACGTATATTTCCCTCTCCTCTGGTACTGAGGCTTCTCAGAAGACTTTGGATCGAAAGGCTCTGCTAGTGCATATGGGCTAAGGAATTTAATGAGCTCTTCAATGTTGTTCTTCCCTTCATAAGTAATAACTTTGGATTCAGCAAGCTTTTCTCCATCCTCACTCACATCTGAGTAGACCATAATTGTTGGGAAATCTGTGATTTTAAGTTCCTTTGTCTTCTTTCTAAGCTTGGTTGAATCAGCAAAGAAGAAATCAATTTTATCTTTGAATTTAGTTGCTAAAGCTTTGAATAACACTGGAGGTGTATTCTTTTCACTAAAAAGGACAACCTTGTTGATCGCCTTCTTTGATCTTAATTTTGTATAATATTCCTTGCTCTTAGTGATCGAACTCACAAAGTTCGGAATATTGGAGGTCACAAACTTTGATATTCCCTTCTCAGTCTTCTTTCTCTCACCAAAAGGAGTTTCTTGATTTTGCTGGACCTCTTTTGTATACGGATTAAATCTTGTTGATGGTGGGACAAATCCAGAAATTAATGGAAAAATTCCAGAATCTGCCTCATTTTGACACATTGGAGTCACTTCATTTTGAAATTGCTCTTTTGCACAATCGATGAGAAGGAAATGAGCGTACCCTCTTAATTTTTGCTCTGTCTTTCTGAACTCTTCAAGCACTTCTTCAGATTCATCACTGTCTTCATGATGTACATATAGCAAAACAAATTGATCTTGCTTGATATAGGAATGGAGGACTGCAATATTGTCTAATTCTTGGATAGTTGACTCTCCTTCATCATATACCTTTTCCTTAATGATGTCTTCTATATTGAATCAGAAAAATACTTAAGATTCTTACCATCAAATTTCTTTTCAGAATAATGGTTGTCTTTTGCCTTATTGACTTTCTTTTTACTGGTCTTTCCTTTCTTCTTCTTGGCATCCACATGAGGGATGTCAATCAGGGCAAGGAAGACTCAGAGTAGGACTAGTAGATATTTGAGATTCATATTCTAGACTCTCCACGTGTAAGAATCTTTTTATTTATTAAATTGATCTTCTTTTTGGGGTTTTGGGGTTTTGGGGTTTTGGGGTTTTGGGGTTTTGGGG